GTCGAGAGGGAGCTCTGGCGTGGGCTGGTCCATGAGGTCACGAAGAGTCGGAGACGACTGAACGAATGAACAACAACAACACCACGCTAACTCCCCAAGAGGACTCAGGGCAGTTTCTAAGTAACAAACACCAAAACATACCAAATAAACAACATAAACATAGAATTATCAAAACAACATCAGCATAAAATTATCAAAATGATACATATATATAAAAAAATACCACCGCCTGTTCTTCGTGCATACTATTAGGGCCAAGATTTCAGAAATGGGCCTAGGCAATTAAGAAGGGCTGGACTGGGCTCGTGCAAACCAGGATATGAGGGGCCACCCATTGTACTAGTTGGAATTTCCGGGCCATCTTCAAGGGCAGCCCCACATAGAGCGCGTTGCAGTAGTCCAATCTGGATGTAAGCAAGGCGTGGACCACCCTGGCCAAGTCAGACTACACGAGATGTGGTCGCTGCTGGCGCACAAGTTTTAATTGTGCAAAGACCCTCCCGGGCACCGCCGACACCTGAGCATCAAGTGACAGCACTGAGCCCAGGAGGACCCCCAAGCTATGGAGCAGTCTCTCCTGACATTTCACCCACATCTATGGCAGGCATCCTCAGAGGTTGTGAGGTCTGTTGGAAACTAAGCAAGTGATGTTTATATATCTGTGGAATAATGTCGAGGGTGGGAGAAAGAACTCTTGTCTGTTTGAGGCAAGTGCGAATGGTGCAATTGGACACCTTGATTAGCCTGTCCTGATTATCTAAATATTTGTAGCCAGGTTTTGTTCATTTTCATGGTTTCCTCCTTTGTGTTGAAATTGTCCACATTCGTCTTGTGGATTTCAGTGGCTTCCCTGTGTCGCCTGACATGGTGGTTGTGAGAGTGGCCCCGCATTTCTGTCTTCTCAAATAATCTGCTGTGTCCAGGTTGGTTCCTCGGGTGCTCTGCTATGGCTGACTCCTCAGGTTGAATTAGTCTGCAGTGGCTTTCATGTTCCTTGATTCGTGTTTTGGGCAGTGCTGCCGTGTTTCGGGTTCCGTATGTAGACGTGTCCTTGGAGGCTCCTAAACAGAGGCATCCTAAACATGGCCATCTTTTCATAGAATCATAGATTCATTGAGTTGGAAGAGACCTCGTGAGCCATCTGGTCCAACGCCCTCCCAAGAAGCAGCACAATCACATTCAAAGCACCTCCAACAGACATTAAATCTTGGCATTAAAAACATATTAATATACACATTAAAATCACATAATCTGAAAATCATAGCCCAAGGCCTTTCGAGATATCCAATATCAATTGCCCATGCCTTGTATTTCTCACTGCCAAAATGCTTGGTTCCATAGCCAAGTTTTACTTTTTTTTTTAAGGCCAGGAGGGAGGTTGCTGATCTAATTTCACTGGGGAGGGAGTTCCATTGTCGAGGGGCCACCACTGAGAAGGCCCTGTCTCTGGTCCCCACCAGTTGTACCTGCGCGGGGAAGGGAACAGAGAGCAGATGATCTTAACCTCCGAGATGGTTCATAGAGGGAGATACGTTTGGACAGGTAAGCTGGTCCGCCACCATTTAGGGCTTTATAGGCTAAAGCCAGCACTTTGAATTGTGCTTAGAAGCAGGCTGGCAGCCAGTGGAGCTGGCACAGCGAGGGGGTTGTGTGCTCCCTGTACTCCACTCCGGTGAGGAATCTGGCTTCTGCTCGTTGGGACTATTTGAAACTTACAAACAGTCTTCAAAAGCAGCCCCACGTGCAATGCATTGCAGTAATCTATTCTCAATATAACAAGAGCATGGGCCACTGTGGCCAAGTCTAACTTCCAAGGTTTGGGTGCAACTGGCGCACAAGCTTTAATTGTGCAAAGGATCCCTCGGCCACCATCGAAACCTGGGGTTTCAGGCTCAGTGATGAATCCAGGAGAACTCCCAAGCCGTGAACCTGTGCTTTCAGGATCTCAAAGATAGGCAGATCCCAAGCCGTTTAGGGCTTTAGAGGTGATAACGTGCACCTTGAATTGGGACTGGAAACTAATCCGTAGCCAGTGGGGGGTTGACCGCTCCCTGTAACTTCCTCCAGTTAGCAACCTGGCTGCCAATCTTTGGACCAATTGCAGTTTCCAAACCGTCTTCAGGGGCAGCCCCACATAGCCTGCGTTACAGTAATCCAACCTTGAGGTAACTAAGGCGTGGACCTCCATGGTCAAGTCAGGCTTCTCGAGGTACGGTCACAGCTGGCGCACAAGCTTTAATTCTGAGTGCCCCTTCGGGGGTTGAGAAGGACGGGATAGAAATGCGAGAAATATTAAATAATTGCACAAAGGCCCTCCCAGCCACCACCGACACCTGAGCATCAAGCGTCAGCATTGAGTCTAGGAGGACCCCCAGACTGCGGACCTGTGTCTTCAGGGAGAATGCAACCCCGTCGAGCACTGGTTGCCACCCTACACTCCGATCAGCCGAACAACTGACCTGGAGGACCTCTGTTGTCGGAACCCAGAAGCCTTAAAGAGCCAGACTCAGGAGTATGCCCAAAAGAAACAGTTTATTGAATCAGACAAAGGGACTCAGAGACACTTACTTCAGTGCCTCTGGTCAAAACTCAAAAGTAGCTGCAAAGATTAGCTCAAAAAACAAACTTAGGAAATAATCCGGATCAAACAGAGATATAATCCGGATTAAACTGAGTAGTGTCCAAAGTCACCCAAAATAGAGCAGCAGATAAAGAACTGGACACAATATTCCAGGTGTGGTCTAACCAAAACAGAATAGAGGGGTAGCATTACTTCCCTAGATCTGGAATCCTTTGTGACCTGAAAGGGGACCCAGAAATTCATCAAATAATCAATAAAGGAATATTTAAGTTTACACTGGTCATTTGTGTAAACCCATTAATCAGAGTGAATGACACCCTGTCTATGGTCATGTTTAGTTAGGGTCAAACTACAAACTACAAGAGAGGAGATTCCACCTGAACATGAGGAAGAACTTCCTGACTGTGAGAGCCGTTCAGCAGTGGAACTCTCTGCCCCGGAGGGAGTGTGGTGGAGGCTCCTTCTTTGGAAGCTTTTAAGCAGAGGCTGGACGGCCATCTGTCAGGGGTGGTTTGAATGCAATATTCCTGCTTCTTGGCAGAATGGGGTTGGACTGGGTGATGGCCCAGGAGGTCTCTTCCAACTCTTGGATTCTAGGATTCAAGCTAACGAAATCAATGTAGCTTTTCAGTATTGGACAAGGATGATCCTCTTTGGCTTTCATGTCTCATGTTGAAAATGTCAAGAAATGGAGGTATGAAAGGACTGTTTTCTTCCATTCGTCCTTCTTTCCATTATTCATTCTTTTCATCGTTGTTATTGAGGGCCTTGGCCTTTGTAAGCCGCACCAAGTCCTTCGGGAGATGTTAGCGGGGTACAAATAAAGTTAATAATAATAATAATAATAATAATAATAATAATAATAATAATAATAATAACCCTCCCTCCCTTTTCCTCTTCTGAATCCATCCCCAATCTATATATATAAAAATGCTCTGTGCATAATGAGTACCTTAAAAACAAAAGAAACAATGAACGAAATCACACCAAATTTGGCAACAAAACATCTCAGAACACAAGGAGTGACCAAAAATTATGATTTTTGTCATTTGGGAGTTGTAGTTGCTGGGATTTATAGTTCACCTACAATCAAAGGGCATTCTGAACTCCACTAACGATGGAATTGAACCAAACTTGGCACACAGGACTTCCAAGACCAACGAAAACACTAGAAGGTTTTGGTGGGCATTGACCTTGAGTTTGAGAGTTGTAGTTCACCTACATCCAGAGAGCACTTTGGACTCAAACAATGATGGATCTGGACCAAACTTGGCACGAATATTCCATATGCCCAAATATGAACACAGATGGAGTTTGGGGGAAATAGAATCTTGACATTTGGGAGTTACTGGGATTTAGAGTTCATCTACAATCAAAGAGCATTTTGAACCCCACCAATGATGGAATTGGGCAAACTTCCCACACAGAACCCCATGGCCAACAGAAAGGGCTTAAGGCCACCCAGTCCAACTCCCTTCACCAAGGCAAGAAAACATAATCAAAGCCCTCCTGACAAAGAGCCATCCAGCCATAGAGATATATATTATTCATACACAGACATATATATAGTATCATAGATTTGAAAGGGACCCCTAAAGAAGAACAATTGTATGTTGCATGTTCCAGAATAGGTAAATCAGACAATCTCCACTTCAACACTGACAAAGAAACAAGAAATACTATTTACCCACAAGCATAAAGAAATTAAATGTATTAGAAACCAACACTTTCTCGTTCCTTTATTTTCCAGATCGCCAGACTGGGCCACAGCAACGTGTGGCAAGGGACTGCTAGTTGTTTATAAACCTGTGAGCACCTTTGCTGGTTTCTGTGTCTGTCCTTGAGACCCTTCATACCTCAATTTCTTGGTATTTTCAACGTGAGCCATGAAGGGAAAAGGGGATAATCTTGGAAAGAAAGGAGGTTTGCGGCTTTATGTTTAATCTTTGGCTTCTTTCTTGACCAGGGAAATGAAGACCCCATGAAGTCACCTCTGGCATGATAAGGAAATATCAGCATCTAGTGGAGATTTAGTGATTTGGAAACCAAACTGCAATAATGAAAGAAATCCTAGAGGAAAAAGAAATCCTCTCTACGTGCTGATCTTGTGAAATTCACCATTGATCAGAAAGGAAAAAGGAAGACTCAAGTGTTCGTATTGCAATTAATTATATACATAACTGTCAAAATGGAGGAGACGCCCTATACAAGTCTGGAGTGCGGAATGAGTTTCACTACAAGTGGAATTCTCCATTTACAGCAAAGGACTCACACTGGGGAGGAACCCTTTACATGCCTGGAGTGTGGAAAGAGTTTCGCTCAAAGTTCAGGACTACATAAACATCAAAGGACTCACACTGAGGAGAAACAATATACTTGCCTTGAATGTGGACAGAGCTTCACTCAGCGTGGAAGTCTACGTTCACATCAAAGAATTCACACTGGGGAGAAACCGTATAAATGCCTGGAGTGTGGACAGAGCTTTGCTCAGAGTGGAAGTCTACATAAACATCGAAGGATCCACACTGGAGAGAAGCCCTATAAATGCCTGGAATGTGGACACAGCTTCACTCAGCGTGGAAATCTAAAGTCACATCGAAGGACTCACACTGGGGAGAAACCCTTTACATGCCTGGAGTGTGGAAAGAGCTTCGCTTATAGTGGAAATCTACATTCACATCAAAGGACTCACACTGGGGAGAAACCTTTTACGTGCCTGGAGTGTGGAATGCGCTTCACTGAAAGTTCAGGACTACATAAACATCAAAGGACTCATAGTGGGGAGAAACACTATAAATGCCTGGAGTATGGACAGAACTTCACTCAGAGTGAACATCTACCTTCACATCAAACGACTCACACTGAGGAGAAACAATACACATGCCTTGAATGTGGACAGAGATTCACTCAGCTTGGAAGTCTATGTTCACATCAAAGAACTCACACTGGGGAGAAACCCTATACATGCATGGAGTGTGAACAGAGCTTCACTCATAGGTCAACTCTACATAAACATCAAAGGATTCATACTGGGGAGAAACCTTATACATGCCTGGAGTGTGGAAAGAGCTTCACTCAGAGTGCACATCTACATTCACATAAAAGGATTCACACTGGGGAGAAACCATATAAATGCCTGGAGTGTGGACAGAGCTTCACTCGTAGTGCAAATCTATGTTCACATCAAAGAATTCACACTGGAGAGAAACCCTATAAATGCCTGGAATGTGGACAGAGCTTCACTCAGCGTGGAACTCTACGTTTACATCAAAGGACTCACACTGGAGAGAAGCCCTATAAATGCCTGGAGTGTGGAAAGAGCTTTGCTCAAAGTTCAGCACAACGTAAACATCACTGGATTCACATTGGGGAGAAACCCTATAAATGCCTGGAGTGTGGATTGAGCTTCACTGAAAATGGAAGTCTAAATAAACATAAAAGGATTCATGCTGGGGAGAAACCCTATAAATGCATGGAGTGTGGGCAGAGCTTCACTCATGGTGAAACTCTACGTTCACATCAAAGGACTCACACTGGGGAGAAACCCTATTCCTGCCTGGAGTGTGGAAAGAGCTTCGCTCAGCGTGGAAATCTACATTCACATCAAAGGACTCACACTGGGGAGAAACCCTATACATGCCTGGAGTGTGGAAAGAGCTTCGCTCAGCGTGGAAGCCTACATTCACATCAAAGGACTCATACTGGTAAGAAACCCTATAAATGCCTGGAGTGTGAAATGAGCTTTACTCGGGGGGAACATCTACATTCACATCAAAGGACTCATACTGGGAAGAAACTTTATAAATGACAGGAAGGAAATAGTTTGTTTATTGGGTTGTTGTAGGTTTTCCGGGCTATATGGCCATGTTCTAGAGGCATTTTCTCCTGATGTTTCGCCTGCATCTATGGCAAGCATCCTCGGAGGTAGTGAGGTCTGTTGAAAGTAGGAAAATGGATTTATATATCTGTGGAATGACCAGGGTGGGAGAAAGGACTTTTGTCTGCTGGATAGAGTAAACAATCAGGCACATCAAATCACCTCTCAAAAAAAGATTCCCCCAGGCACTTCCAAGCCATTAAATGCTAATCAAGGTGGTCAGTTGAAACATTCACACCTAGCTCCAGCAGACAAAAGTCCTTTGTCCCACCCTGGTCATTCCACAGATATATAAACCCATTTTCCTACTTCCAACAGACCTCACTACCTCTGAGGATGCTTGCCATAGATGCAGGCAAAACGTCAGGAGAAAATGCCTCTAGAACATGGCCATATAGCCCAACAACAACCCAGTGATTCCGGCCATGAAAGCCTTCGACAATACAGTTTGTTTATTTATTTACTATATTTGTATACTGCCTTTCTCAGCCTAAATGCGACTCAAGACAGTTCAGTTTACAGAGTTTTGTGTTTTAATACTGCTAGATAATAATCTAGAAAGAAAATGTGTAAGATTACTAAAATATATAACACTACTAGCTTGGGGACCCGGCACTGCCCGGGTTATTTGAGAAAGAAATTGTGTATCAAGGTTGGTCTTTATCAGTTTTATGGCTCGCAGTGGTCTCAGGAAGTTAGTGAAGGTACTGTGAGTTCCATCATCTGTGGTCCATCCTCCTCCAAACTGCACAAGGTGTAGAGTGGGTCATGGGGGCTCTGTGTGCCAAGTTTGGTCTTGATCGGTTATTAGATGAAGGTTGCAGCAGTCTTGGAAAGTGAGTGGAGGTACTTGAAGTCCCATCATCCATAGTCTTTTCTCCACAAACCTCACCAGAATGTTGAGTTAGCTGTGGGGGCTCTCTGTGCCATGTTTGGTCTTTATTAGTATTTGGATGAGTGTCGCTGTGGTTTCAGGAAGTGAGTGAAGGTACTGCAAGTCCCATCATCCATCGTCCTTCCTCCTCCAAACAGCACCGAGATGTAGAGTGGGTCATGGGGTCTCTGTGTGCCAAGTTTGGTCTTGATCGGTTATTAGATGAGGGTTGCAGCAGTCTTGGGAAGGAAATGTAGGTAGTTGAAGTCCCATCATCCATGGTCTGTCCTCCCCGAAAGTGCACCAGGATGTAGAGTGGGTCATGGGGGCTCTGTGTGCCAAGTTTGGTCTTGATAAGTCATTGGAGAGGGTCTCGGTGGTCTCAGGAAGTGAGTGAAGTGACTGCAAGTCCCATCATCCATCTCCAAATTCTTCCAAACCGCACCAGGATGTAGAGTGGGTCATGCAGGCTCTCTGTGTGAATTGTGATCCTGATCCATCATTGTTGGCAGTTGTAATGGTCTCAGGAAGGGAATGCAGGTATTGCAAGTCCCATTGTCCATGGTGCATCCTCCTCCAAACCGCAGCAGTATGTAGAGTGCGTCATGCAGACTCAGTGTGCCAAGTTTGGTCTTTATCGGTAATTGGATGAGGGTTGCAGTGATCTCAGGAATTGATGAAAGGTACTGCAAGTCCCATAATCCATGGTCCATCCCCAGCTAAACCAACCAGGGCGTAAAGTGGGTCATGAGAGGTCTATGTGCCAAGTTTGGTCTTGATTGGATGAAGGTCACAGCGGTCTCAAAAAGTGAGTGATGGTACTGCAAATCCCATCATCCATGGTCCAGTATCCTCCAACCGGCAGTAGGATGTAGAGTGAGTGAAGGTACTGCAAATCCCTCAGGCCCTTTCCTTTCTCTTCTTATCCACTTGAGAATGTTAGGATGTTTTGTTTTGTTTTTTGTCGTGTCAGGAGCAACTTGAGAAACTGCAAGTAGTTTCTGGTGTGAGAGAATTGGCCGTCTGCAAGAACGTTGCCCAGGGGACGCCAGGATGTTTTGATCTTTTACCATCCTTGTGGGAGGCTTCTCTCATGTCCCGCATGAGGAGCTGGAGCTGATAAGTGGGAGCTCCTCCGCGCTCCCCCCGGATTCGAACCCGCAACCTGTGGGTCTTCAGTCCTGCCGGCACAGGGGTTTAACCCTCTGTGCCACCACGGGCTCCTGTTGAGGCTGGCCAATCAGAAACCATATGCAAATTTCCTTCCCCTTCTCAGCCATTGAGAATCTTGGAGTGTTGTGGCTGGCCAATCAGAGGCCATATGCAACTAGTACCACAGAGGCAGCCAATCAGAACGCTGCCACATACACCTCCCGTCCTTCCTCTGCATACAAACACTGACTTTTATTACATACATAGATAGATATAGATATAGATGTAACCATTTCCTGTTCCTGGGTTGAAAGTATTATTTTCTGTTTAATTGTGTGGTGCCTCCTTGAAAGTATTTGTTCTACTCCAGGAACTTATTTTGTGGCTTCCAGAAACCATGGGATCATAGAGTTGGAAGGGACCTCTTGGGCCATCCAGTCCAACCCCATTCTGCCAAGGAGCAGGAATATTGCATTCAAATCACCCCCGACAGATGGCCATCCAGCCTCTGTTTAAAAGCCTCCAAAGGAGGGGCCTCCACCACACTCCCTCCGGGGCAGAGAGTTCCACTGCTGAACAGCTCTCACGGTCAGGAAATTCTTCCTCATGTTCAGATGGAATCTCCTTTTTTGTAGTTTGAAGCCATTGTTCCTTTGCGTCCTAGTCTCCAGGGCGGCAGAAAGGAAGCTTGCTCCCTCCTCCTCTCTGTGGCTTCCTCTCACATATTTATACATGGCTATCATGTCTCCTCTCAATGTTCTCTCTACAGGCTAAATATGCCCAGCTCTTTTAGTCGCTCCTCATAGGGCTTGTTCTCCAGATCCTTGATCATTTTAGTTATCCTCCTCTGGAAACATTCCAGCTTGTCAATATCTCTTCAATTGTGGTGCCCAGAATTGGACACAATAGTCCAGGTGTGGTCTAACCAAGGCATTATGGATTGGTAACGACTTCCCCTGGATCAAGGCACTATACTCCTATTTATGAAGGCCAAAATCCCATTGGCTGTTTTAGCTGCAGCATCACATTGTTGGCTCATATTTAACTTGCTGTCCACGAGGAAGATCTTTTTCATATGTACTGCTATAGAGCCACGCATCCTCTATTCTGTATTTTTGCATTTCATTTTTTCTGCCTAAGTGGAGTATCTTGCATATGTCATTGTTGAACTTCATTGTGTTAGTTTTGGCCCATCTCTCTGATCGTTTTGAATTCTGCTCCTGTCTTCTGGGGTATTTAGTATCCCTCTCAATATGGTCTTGTCTGCAAATTTGATCGTTCCTTCTCACCCTTCATCTAAGCCATTAATAAAGATCCTGAACAGGACCGGGCCCAGGAGGGAACCCTTCTGATGGCACTCCACTCGTCACTTCTTTCCAGGATGAAGAGGAAGCATTGGGGAGAATCACCCTCTGGGTGCGTTCATTTAACCAATTACAGATCTACCTAACCGTAGTTTTGCCTAGCCCACATTGGACTAGCCCAAAGGTCGGGGGGGGGGGCGTTGTCGAAGGCCTTCCTGAAATCCAGGTACAGTCCATCTACGGCATTCCCCGTATCTACCCAGCTTGTAACTCTATCGAAAAAAGAGATCAGATTCGTCTGGCATGACTTGTTTTTGATAAATCCATGTTGACTATTAGCGATGACCGCATTTGTTTCTAAGTGTTTGCAGACCACTTCCTTAAATAACTTTTCCAGAATCTTGCCTGGTATCGACGCGAGGCTGACCGGACAGTAATTGTTTGGGTCGTCCATTTTTCCTCTTCTTGAAGATTGGGACCACATTGGCCCTCCTCCAATCTGCTAGGACTTCTACTCCAATCTGCTGGGACTTCTACTTTTCTCCAAGAACAGTAGAATGATTGCCAGAGATTCCAAAATGACTTCTGCTAGTTCCTTCAATACTCTTGGGTGTCCTTGATCTGGGCCTAGGGGACTTCGTTTAGAGCGGGCAGGTATTCCTGAATGTCTTCTTTCCCTATTTGGGGTTGGATTTCCCCTAATCCTTCATCCATTCCATGTTGGCAAGGTTGTGGCTGGCTTTCTTTTTGTGAGAAGACCGAGGCAAAGAAGGCATTAAGTAGTTCTGCCTTTTCCCTACCCCCTGTCGGCATTGCCCCATCTTCTCGAAGAGGCCCTATCACCTCCTTGTTCTTCCTTTTTCTACTGATGTAAGAAAAGAAGCCCTTTTTATTGTTTTTAATGTCCCTGGCAAACCTGAGTTTGTTTTGCACTTTAGCCTTGTGAAACTTCTCCCTACAGGAGTTGGTTATTTGTTTGAATTCTTCTTTGATGATTTCTCCCTTTTTCCATTTCTTGTGCATGTCTCTTTTGAGTCTTAGCCCAGTTAGAAGTTCTTTGGACCCCACTGATTTGAACAACTTATTTTACTATGTACTCATTTGATGTGTTTTCTTTTGTTTTGATTGTTTTGCTGTTATGCCTTTTGGGCATTCTGTCCCACATATAAGCTACCCAGAGTCCCATCGGGAAGATAGTTGGCGGGTTATAAGAATAAAGTTGTTATTATTTATTATTAAGTCCTGAGCCACTCCTGACAGGGAGGTCTCTGCATGGATGTTGAAGTCCCCCAGCATGACTAGACGTTGGGACTCCAACATCAGGCCAAAGCCCACCCTGGCTAGCTCAGGAAGGGATACTGTTGAGCTGCGGGGTGGACAGTACACCAACAGAATCTCTGTCTGTCCCAGCCTCTCACCCTTAGATAGATACTCTCAAATGTGGTCGACTGAGATGGGACACTTGATAAGGAGGATGGAATCTCAAATAGACCACTGCAACTCCTCCTCTCCGCCCCTGGGTCTTGCCTGCTGCTGCACACTGAAACCTGGTGGGCAGAGTTGCGAGAGATTCACTTCCCCTCCTTCATCCAACCAAGTCTCAGTAATGCAAGCCAGGTCAGCAAGCTCATCCAGGATTAAATCCTGGATGGTCGTCGTTTTCCCATTTACCAACCTGGCATTAAACAGCAGGACTTTCAACCTGCCATCTTGGTTACGCAGACTATTTGTGGCTGCTGGTGGCCCAAGGGCTGAGAATTCTCTCAGGACACCTGGGCCACCTCCTCCTCCTTTAATAATATTACATAATAATAAACTTTATTTATACTCCACCACCATCTCCCCGATGGGGACTCGGAGCGGCTTACACGAGGCCAAGCCCAAACAACAATTACAATAAAGAAAAAACCAAAACACAAACCAAAAGCGCGAACAATAAATAATAACACATTAACATAAAGAAAAAACAAGAAACACTAACATCATATTAATTAATTAATTTATTTACCTTACTTATATACCGCTGTTCTCAGCCCAAAGGCGACTCACAGCGGTTCACAACAAATACGAACAGCAAAAATTCAGTGCTACAGTATAGAAACAGTTAACAACCTAACACATTACACAATTAATAAACAGTTACTACAATACCCATTCACTGTCGTCACGTCATCAAAAACATGTTCCAGATTTGTCGTCCATTGTTCCATTCCAGTGTTCATTAACCAATCATTGCACTAATTTTTGGAACGCCTGCTCAAACAGCCAGGTCTTCACTTTTTTGCGGAATACAATTAGAGATGGTGCTAGTCTAATGTCCGTAGGAAGGGCGTTCCACAGCCGAGGAGCCACCACCGAGAAGGCCCTATCTCTCGTCCCCGCCAGCCGAGCTTGAGAAGCAGGTGGGATTGAGAGCAGGGTCTCCCCGGAAGATCTCAAAGTCCTGGTGGGTTCATAGGCAGAGATGCGGTCAGATAGGTAGCTTGGGCCGGAACTGTTAACATATAAGAAAACATATAAGAAAACCGTTAACATATAAGAAAAGAAGATAGGATCTCATCTCGCATCTCTGTCAGCATTGGAGCACAGGAATGGATTACCCCCTGCCCTCCGGATCCCCTTCCTGCTCTTTTTCTCTCTCCTTCATTCTTTTATTCCTTTCTTCTGTCTTTTTTTTTTTTTTTTTTTTTTTGCTTTCCTTACCTCAATCTTTCCTTTCCTTCTAGCCACCCTTTCATCGTTCTTTTATTTTCCTTTCTTCAGTCCCTCCTACACACCTTCCTTCCACCCATCTATCTTTCTCTCCCTCTTCTTTTCTTTCCCCCTTCCTTGTTCTGTATTTGCTGAATCGCCTTTGGACCAGGAACATGTGTCTCTGTTATTTTCATGCAGAGCATCTGAATCCGTTCCTTGTTGTGTATGGATTTGTGATTGAGTTTGTTGGTTTCTATAGACACCCTTGAGACAATTCATGCCTCTATTTCTTGGTATTTCCATTTTCAACTTGATCCATGGAGGGAAAAGAGGATAATGTTGGAGGTAAAGAAGGCTTGGGGCTTCGTGTTTAACCTTTTGCTTCTTCTTTCTTGACCAGGGACATGAGGGTTTTATGGAGCCACTTCCGGCAAGACAAGAAACAAACCAGCTTCTAGTGGATATGGAAGAATTGTAAAACCAAAGTGCAGTAAGGAACCCAGTCTTGTAGGGAAAAGAAATCCCCTCCAGGTGCTCACCTTGCTAAATTCTTAAACTCACTTTGGATCAGAAAGGGAGAAACAAGATTCAGGTGTCCATATTGCAATTATATTTACCCAAAGCTGTTGACATGGAGGAGAAATGTTATCAATGTATTGAATGTGGAAAGAGCTTTAGTCAGCATGAACATCTGAAGACACATCAAAGTATTCACACTGGGGAGAAACCCTATACATGTCTGGAGTGTGGGAAGGGCTTCACTCATAGTGGAAATCTACATTCACATCAAAGGACTCACACTGGGGAGAAACCCTTCACATGCCTGGAGTGTGGAAAGAGCTTCACTCAAAGTTCAGGACTACGTAAACATCAACGGACCCACACTGGGGAGAAACCTTATAAATGCCCGGAGTGTGGAAGGAACTTCACTACAAGTGGACATCTTCGTTCACATCAAAGGATTCACACTGGAGAGAAACCCTATAAATGCCTGGAGTGTGGAAGGAGCTTCACTTGGAGTGGAAATTTATGTTCACATCAAAGGACTCACACTGGGGAGAAACCCTATACGTGCCCTGAGTGTGGTCTGAGCTTTACTCGAAGGGGACATCTACATTCACATCGAAGGACTCACACTGGGGAGAAACCTTATACGTGCCCTGAGTGTGGTCAGAGCTTTACTCGAAGGGAACTTCTGCATTCTCATCAAAGGACTCACACTGGGGAGAAACCCTATAAATGCCTGGAGTGTGGACAGAGCTTCAGTGAGACTGCAAATCTACGTAGACATCAGAGGACTCACACTGGGGAGAAACCCTATAAATGCCTAGAGTGTGGAATGAGCTACACTCATAGTGGAAATTTACATTCACACCACAGGACTCACACTGGGGAGAAACCCTTTAAGTGCATGGAGTGTGGACAGAGCTTTTCACGGAGCGACATTCTACATAGACACCACAGAATCCACATTGGAGAGAATGGTGTTAATTGACAGCAGAGTGTCTTTCTAACAGGTACAAAAACAACTCTTGTAAATTTTGGAAATGCAAGCTCAAATTTGGGACATTTCATCACATGTGGTGTATTGTAGAAAGACTGAACTAAAATACGTTCTATCTTGGAAGTAATTAGGGTTAAATGAAACCAGAGTTTGATTGGTTGAGAATGCTGGGCAATCAAGTAGAAAGAAAACAAGGATACTTACTGAAATACCTAACTACGATAAGAATTGACTTTGACATCGGTGTGTGGGCTAGACTAAACAACCAGGGCCTTAAGGTCAGTTGGATTGCTTATTCCAATGCAAGAAGAATGGCTTATGAAGATTCATTAATTTAAACATTTATATTCCGCCCTTCTCACCCCAAAGGGGGGGGGGGGCAAAGGAGACTCAGGACGGAGCAAAAAACCCAAAGGAAACCCAGGGTGGAGCACAATATATAATTGGCAAACATTCAATGCTGGGACAGAAATACACATGTATAAACAATAAAATAATTTATCTCAACATTAAACTCCACTGTTAAAAACGGTCTCCTCTTGCTGACCTTATTGCGCTGTCCCAAAAGCTTGGTCCCTCAGCCAAGGTTTTGACCATCCTTCTGAAGGACAGGAGAGAGCGGGCTGATCAGATTAGCACATCTGATTAACCACCAGCTGCTATAAATCTTACCAATCGAAAGACTGGCAGTTCAAAGCCCGGGTCAGGGTGAGCGCCTAACCATCAGACCAGCTCACTGCCCACCTAGTAGTTTGAAAACAGCCGTGAGTAGATAAAATAGGTACCACTTAATTTTTCTAGAAACAGCCGAGAAATACCAGTGATCAAAAAGGGGGAAGCTTGTGCTTTTTGTGAACTCTTTGGCACGGAGGAGGGAGCGACACCCCCCACCCCCCATAGTCGGAATCGAGCACAACCTGTTTGCCGTAGATATGTTATCTGCCCTGAGTCTCCTTCGGGGTGAGAAGGGCAGAATATACATGCTGTATATAAATAAACAAGTGCAATAACAAGTGAGATATATGATTCCACTTCCAGGCTTCTTCCTGGAGGTTTTCCCGCTTTTCCTTCTTCTTCTTTCTTTTCCTTCTTCTTATCCCTTTTCTCCCTTTCTCCTTTAAAACCTACTTCTGGTGGGTGAGTATTTTTCCTTTCTTATAATTATCTTACTATTATTTATTTTAAATAGTTATCAATGTCCAGTCTGTTTTTTGTCTGTCTTTTCTTTAGTTTTTTGTATCAAGTAGGTTAGTCTATCCATATTTCTTATGTCCCTAATCTTCCATTTTAGGTATTCCACTTTTTCTCCATAGTCTCACATAGGATATTCTTGCTGCTGTTGTTGATAGGAAGAGGAGTTTCACATAGAGTTTGTCTATGTTACTGTCTACTTTTTATTCATTAATTCCTAATTAAAATATTTATGGTTTGAGTGGTATCTTTATTTACTTCTCGTGGTGTCTGTGGAATGCACACAGAAGGTACTCCGATGCCTTGAGGCAGCAGGTCCGGAAGTATCTAGAAATGATTAACCTAATATGGCCCCACCCTTCTACTCCTAGCCACGTGCCCAGAGCTAGTTCCCTTTTTTCCGCCCAAGAAGCGGCAGCGTCTCAAAGTCTCTCTTCGCAAGTTTATCCATTTTTGTCCCTTTTCTCCCTGTTTTCTCTTCCCTTTCCCTCCCTTTGGCCTATGATGGCCTCTAGTTTTAAAAAGTGCTCGGAGTGCGGGGGGTCCTTCCCCGACTCCGATGCCCATGACCGGTGCCTTCTCTGTCTTGGCGAGGGGCACCCGGTCGCCTCGTGCCTGGCGTGCAGGGCCCTGACTCCCCAGGCACGCAAGCGGCGTGATACATGCCTCAAGGTGCTCCTTTACGAGCATGCACTCTTCCCCGCGCCTCCTTCCCTTCCTCCCCCGGCGGCGCCCTCGGCTGAGGGCGCTCCACCCGCCGTTACTTCTCCTCCGTCTCCCCGCCCGTCATCCTCCGTCCAGCCTTCCTCCTCCTCCAAGCGGCCCAGGGAGGATTCCGCCGGGCGGTTGGCCGCGGCAAAGCCGAAGAAGAGAAGGAAGGAGGAGTCCGCTGCCGCTGGCCCCGCCCCTTCGGCGCAGGGCTCCCTGGACCCGCCTACGCCGGCCCAGCGGCCGCAGAGCACGCCGAGCCCGGCACAGTCTTCAGCCCCGCCATCGGGCCCAGCCCGCCCCCCCCCGATGCGGGGGCAGCCACGCGCCACCATCTTGCGGGCCCGGCCTTTGTGCCCCTCCTTCCATCGGCGGCCCTCGAGGCCCAGGATGGGCGCCTGCTGGCCTCAGGCCCGCGGCGTGGGGAGGTAGGCCGCGCCGACGCGTCTTTCCTGGACCCGGCCTACCGGGCCCGAGAGGCCTCACGGACCCTTTTCCCCCTCCTTCCTTTGCCTCAAGATGCCCTCCCTACGTTTTCTTCCCCTTCACTCTGCCAGCTCTCTCGTTACCTGGCATGGGGCGTCTAGGGACCATTCCCACTCCAGGGAGCAGTCCATTCATCGCTCCCCTGGGGGCCGGGCATATGTGTATGCGCCAGTCCTCATCCCAGAAGTCCACCCAGACCCTCCTCAGGCCTGCCCGTCTGCTACCCGGTCCTCCTCTCAACGCCTCCCCCTTGAGGCCTACGCGGAGGACGATGCCTCTGTGGACCTCGTCTCTCCGGTTCCCATTCGTCCCTCGCACCTCAGGAGAATATAGCCATCCACTCTCCGCCATTGCTAACCTAGCGGCCCTCCTCTCACGCCTGTCCAGGGCGCTCCACGTGCCAGTTGCTACCACCACGTGCCAACCGGTGGATGATTTTCTCTTCCCTTCAGACAAACAGCAGCAAGCTCCACTGCCAACTACTGTCCTCCCGGGTATCCCTTACCTACTTCAACTGACGAAGACGCTGGACCTCCCCCCCCCTCCATTAACCCGGTCTCTCGTCGCACCGATCTTCTCTACAAGATAGACTTTACCTCCGCTCCCTGGATTGCGCGGCCGCCCAAACCGAACACAGTGGTCGCCGATATGACCACCGGAAAGCACTTCAAACCTCACAGCACCCCTTCGGACAAGGAGGGCAGGAAGCTTGACTCGATGGGCAAGAAGGTGCACACTAGTGCAGTGTTTCTGGCTCGCCTCGCTCATTACGAGGCTTACTTTGCCGCATACCAGACCTACCTCTGGAAGCTTCTCTCTGCTTACCTTCCTTACCTCCCCGATGACTGCCACCCCTTGGCAGATGCCGTCCTCCAGGAGGCTCTCCTCTTGTCTAGAACCCAGAAGGACATGGCCAAGCATGCTGCTGACTCCGCGGGTCGCCTCTTCGCCACCTCGACCGCCATCCGACGTCACACATGGCTCCATGCTTCCACCCTCTCGGAGGAGGGCAGGGCGTTGGTGGAGAATCTCCCCACTCATGACGCTGGCCTCTTTAACCCGGACACCAACACTCAGCTGAAAGAGACACAGGAGGTCAGGCAAGCGGCGCACAAGTTCGGTTATACGACGCAACGCCTGCCTCGCTCTACAGGTTGGTGGACCCCCTCAACCGGCGGCCTCCCAATCCGCCAAGCCACAGCAATCCTTTCGACCCCCCCCCCAGCAGGGCAAGCCCCACTTTCAGGGGCAGGGCAGGCATCGCTTCTAGCTGCGCAGCGCCTCTCTCTCCTCCATCCCCTGCCCTCTCCTCCTCGTCTCTCTCCTCACCCCGGCACAGAGATGCCCCTCTATTTTCGTTAGATTTTCATACCCTTGAGCGCCACCAGTTGCTTCCAGGAGTCCACTTTCATTTTGGAGCCCGGTTGGCTCCCTTTTTGTCGGCCTGGCATGCCATCACCACGGACCGGTGGGTCTTGGATGTAGTCCGCCAGGGCTAATCCATTGATTTTCTTTCTCTTCCCCCTAAGGGGTACATCAACCCCACTCACCCCTCCCAGGCGTTATGGGATGAGGTCTCTTCCCTTTTACTCAAGGGGGCGGTTGTCCTCTTGCACCCGGATTCTTTTTCGTTAGCGTTTTTTCCCTGTTATTTCTTAGTCGCCAAGAAAGGCGGTGGCCAGCGGGCTATCCTGGACCTCCGTGCCCTTAACTCCTACATTTATGCTCCCACCTTTCGAATGGTTACCTTGTCCACCCTCCTCCCTCTCATTCCGGCGGGGGAGTGGTTCGCCACGCTGGACCTCTGCTACGCCCACTTTCACGTCGCCATCTCCCACCCGCACCATCGGTTCCTCTCCATGATTGGCGACCAGGCTTTTTCCTATTGGGTTCTCCCTTTTGGGATTTCGACAGCGCCCAGGGTGTTCACCAAGTGTATGGCGGCGGTGGTGGCGTTCCTCCGTACGCGGGGCATCGCCGTCTTTCCTTATATCGATGACTGGCTTCTTCTCGCTCGCTCCAGTCCCTCCTTACTGCCATTCGCTTCACCCTCTCTCTCTTGCAGGACCTGGGCCTGGTGGTGAATCACACCAAATCGCACCTCGTCCCTGCGAGGACCATCCAGTTTATCGGGGCAGTTCTGAACTCTACCTCCGGCACCGCCTTTCTCCCCAAGGACCGCTTCCGGGCTCTCCGCACCGCGGTCCTCACCGCCATCCGCCTCCCAGCGGTTCCCGCGTCGCACATGCAGTCCGTTCTCGGCCTCATGGCGTCCACGACAGCGGTGACCCCATTCGCGCGCCTGCGCATGCGGCTGCTCCAGGCGTGGTTCCTCCGTCACTGCGACCTGCTCCAGGACAACCTGAAGACTTCCCTCGTCCTTCCGGATTCCATCCGCTGTTCTCTCCAGTGGTGGCTCCACCGCGCAACGGTCTGCACAGGCATGCCATTCCGACCTCGGCACCTGTCCTGCGCCCTCACCACCGACGCCTCCTTGACAGGCTGGGGGGCTCACACCGGCCCCCTCACGACTCGCGGCGTCTGGTCCCCGGCAGAACGGCTCCTCCATATCAACCGCCTGGAGATGCTCGCCCTCTTCAAGGCCCTCAAGGTCTTCCGCGACCTCTCCAACCGTACCATCCAGGTCTGCACAGACAACACCTCTGTCGTGTGGTATCTCAACAAGGGGGGGCACGAGATCTCACTCTCTTCTTCAGCTTGCCCTGTCTATCTGGGAGTGGTGCATTGCCAACGGCGTTTTCATCATCGCCGTCCATGTCCCTGGTCGCTCCAACGATCGGGCCAACCTTCTCAGCAGGTCTCTCGTTGGGCCACGAGTGGTCTCTCCACCCCGACGTCTCGACGTCCCTCTTCACCCTTTGGGGTGCCCCGGTGATCGATCTCTTCGCCGCGCCGGACAACGCGAAGTGCTTTCTTTTGCGCCTGGGGGCGGCGCCGTCAACAGCGGGCTGCCTGGGCGATGCCTTCCTGTTCCACTGGGGGGGCCCGCCTTTA